ATGTGAGTAACGGCTTTACAAGTGTTTACAGTCTTGGATTTTATTATCTGTTTACTGCAACACTGCTGGGCTGATTTCCACACTCGCTCATTTCCGAGCTTTCTAAAAGCTGAACTTGAGTGTTTGCGTATAAATACAGGCTGACTTAAAGCGCTGATTTCCACTCATTACAATTATTTATCTGTCACAAAGTTTCCATCCTCACGCCCTCTGAGCCTCGTATCTGTTTACAGTTGTTAATGTAGTCCCAGGCTCGACACAGCATTCTTCTTTAGGCCGAGCTATCGGGCACAGTGTGGTGTTTTTCTGCCCAGCTAGCCTCATGATGTCATTCGAGTGGGAGCACTGGTAGCCGGGGCCGATTTCACGGCTAGATCGAGCCTCTAATTAAGTGTGGCGTTCCAGCGAGGCGCAGGGCGGGCCCAGCAGCCTGATGGCTGACACTAATTGTTCCTGCGCCGACTTAAAGGCCATGTTTGTGAAATATTCAGCTACCCGTCTGTTGACAGTTAACTCCGTCCTCTGAACTCTTAACCCCTTTACTTATTATTTTGCTACTTCCTGTCCGGTGGTGAAATGCAGCGAGTTTGAGCACAAATGTCAACAACAGCAGTGCACAAACGTGGCCCTGAGAGCTTAACACCAGCAATCGCCTCACATCTGTTACAGTGCGCTCCAAGATCTCCGTTTTGGATGAACCCCAAAAGATTTCTCCATGCTCCTCCTCGCGCGACTGTCTGCTTCCGTCTGGGATGAGCCAGAGCCGTGGTGTGGAGAAAGCCTCGGTCCCAGCTGCTTCTCTGTCAGCGCCGTGCTGAGCGAGCGGCGGGCCGTCTGTGTTTACCTTATTAATTAGCCCAGTGATCCAGAAACACTCCCTCTGGTAAATAGAATAACAGTGAAAGGTTACACGGGCGGAGGAGAGGGAAAAGAGAGAGCAGGCAGCAAGCAAAGGAAGAAAGGGAAGGAGGGACCAGAGAGTCGTGGAGGAAACCTGATGTGGCAGGTCAAAGGATTTAGGTGGTTGTTCATTTTACAGTTCTTGAGATCACGTTGACCCCAGCTTGCCAGTTTCAGTTTTATAACAATGGCATAAATTATTGCTGTGAACTGCATAGATCAAGAATCCATCATCTTGTCTTCTTCAAAAGCATCCAAGTATGCTGTGCAGCTTTCCAATTGGCTGAAATGAATTCAGATCGGAGCGTTGCAGGCCAAAATTCAAAATAGACCATTAAGTAGACAAATAGACAGCCTGACAGCGCGTTTATGAATCTGCTCCAAGTGTTTCCGATAGCTCCACTCCTCCATTTTGGGCCGTATCTGTGTCCTGGGGTCTGCAGTTCAAGGCCATACATGGAAAGCCAGGAGACGGCGCCCAGTGAAATGAATTACATTAGCAATACAGAGTTTTCCCTCGGCTGCGTGTTCAAAGGAGGGCTGGGAAACGTGGCTTTCATTAGGTACTGCTGGTTTAAACCGGGTTAGAGGTCACTCTGAAGGGGAAAAGTCTCTAATATATGAGAGCGAAGAGCAAAGGGAGGAAAACACGTTTTAATCTGATCAATGAGCTAATTTAAAGCCATTGCATCAAATGGCTTGATGCTATGAAAACACTCAGGTCCATCTGTGAGTGGACTTGGTTAACACTGTGGTGACACAGGCAGCAGATCCGGTGAGGCCTTGCTGGATTGGACCTCTTCCAACTCATCCGTGCTCGATCCGTTTGGGATTTGAGGAGTGTCGAGGCCGGCTCGATGCCGTGGGCTCTGTGCTGTTTGCAGGGAGCCCGGAGCATCGGAGCAATGCATTGTAACATTTCTTTCCCAGAGGAGCGTGAGCGATGGCCTGTTTGTGTCTGTGCATACCTGTGTTGGCAAACCGTGCTCTCAGCTTGTGCCACTTGACATTTGGCTGTCATATAAAAAGGCCCAGCGGGACTTTAAAGCGGATTTACAACCTCCTTACAACCCTGTGGAGTAAAGTT